TGGTGATGATGGTGATGATGATGCTGCTGACCTTAATGAATGACGGTTCTCCGAGTGGTTGCCAACGAGCTGTGGTGCTAGATGTGTCTAATCTTTTATTTCGGTTTTTATAACAGATTTTCGTCCTCTTTGTAGACCGGCCTTTTGTCTGTAATTCCAATATCAATGCATCCTTTCTGTGGGCACAAATACGTGTGCTCTATCTAGCCGTACTCATGAACTCATCCGTACAACCGCTTGGCACGTTTGCTGGTTTCGATCGAGGTCCTTCAACATCTACAGTGTGCAGACCACCAAATGTTCTCACCGATTCTGCGCCACATCCTGTCATTGGTGCCAATACCGTCATTCCATCATCTTTTCATCAAATTCCACCAGTGGGTATGGACCTTCAGCCACAGAAGTCGTTCCTACGCGTTCAAACGAGTCCTGGAGCAATTTACGATGAAGATACATGCCTCAGTAATCTCTCCGAGGAAGCCTTCACATTGTCTGAACCGTCACCTCCAGTCGGAGTTGGGTTCTATGGGGATCCATCAGGCCCTTCTCCAATAGCCATGGGATATAAAGAGAATGAGACTACGAATCAGTTTTTTCCCGGTACGACAGGGACTGTAATGACTCATACCCCTCGGTCGTTCCCCCCAGTTTCAGAATCGGAGCGCGATTTCTTATTCGCAGATTTAGAGCCAAACCTCACTTCAATGGCTTACCGGTACGAACAGTTACCGGTGTCCGAATCCAATATCACCAGTCTGCCGGTGCCAAATACCATTTCATCCGCGATCCGTGTAAATTCACCTGATGTGTTTTTGTGGGCTGATGTGCATCCTGCCACTAGACAGCCTAACTTATTGACTACACCTTCTGACCAATATACGCAATGCGAACAGACCTCGGTCATCACCGAAACGGTTCCTACAACGTATATTCGAGAGGGAAATTCGTATTTTTCGGGTCCTGGCGGGTTTACGGACTCGTCTACCTACTGTGTGCAACACGAATCTGGTAAGGATATACTTAACCAGAACCCAATTTTTGACTTCGCTGTGACCAACTTTACTGAGCCACCTGCCGTTTGTGATACTGCTGTCCGATTTCCTCAGCAAACAACTGTTGTCCCACTTCAACCAAGTTTTGATGACTTTCAGTCACAAGGAAACAAAAAGACTTTGCCCTACCGCATGGTGTCCACAATGATTGATCAACATACACTCAATACGTTGCAAGCTGATCTTCAGCAAAAGAACCTGACTAATACGGTGCTGTCTCATGAAATGTACCCAAATACCTGGAATCATGAAGAACCAGACCCACATTGCACCGTTCTTAAAGAGAACTACGTACCTGCTGCTACTTCACTATACCACCAGGGTACTACAGTTTCTAGTTATGCCCATTGGGATTCTCAGTGGATAGGTCAGGGTGCAGTTGCCTTTTCTACTAGCGCGCAGACTGACGTGTTCCCGACCCCTGAGCAGTCAGCTTACTGGCCAGCTCCGCACCATTATTCTGAAGAACAGTACCCTCCAGTGGAATTCTTCAGTCTCGAAGGGTGTTCTCATAGCACGATGGCTGATTCCGCTGTGAGTTACTTCAGAAACTGAACTTTGAATTGACTTTACTAATGGTGTATTGGATTGATTTTTCGACTTTCTTACTGCTCTCTGAACTTTCTGTGGATGTACAGTGTTTCTATTACTAGAAGTTTGGCTGAGGATATATCTTTGCAGTTGTAGTGTTGTGTATTGGTCTGACGTATGTCCAGTCAAGTGCCTTATGAGAAGTCTGTCCGGGAACTTGTCCTCGGGAATTCCAACACTAAGTCCAGTTGGATGTAATGAGTACAGTGTCTTCAGGTGCACCCCATAGGTTACTCGCATTACTCTGTGCACTTTATTCAGGATCTGACGCCACCTGTCTTGGTATTCATTCCACCATTTCTCTTGAGAGTTCCCACTGTTATCCGACAAGCTTGTAGGACGCGTGTGCTCACTTCAATTTTCTGAAGCTAGCTCTTGTGATAGAATGACTTGGCACCGTCGTGTTTTGAAGTAAGGCTCTTCTTCGACCCAATCCTGTTTTCAGTAACTTACACTGTTTCACACAGCAAGACCAAATTTGCTTCTGAAAGTCTTTTCTCCAGTCAATCTTGGCGAATTTCCCAACCGTTCAGAAAACAAGACAGACAAGCTTCGCCAATTTTTGCCGGTTAGCGAATGACTTATCGGAAACACCATTGGAGATACGCAATGTTGGCGAAAATCGCGGTCGGAGAACTGGCCGTGCCACCTTTATCTAAGAATGACCATCCAACACCGGTAGTAGAATACTTCAAGCTGCATTAATGCTCATCGTCATAGACGGCAAGGCACGTTAGCAGGATCATGAGTTGGATTATGCGCCTTCCTGGATGAGGAGATCAGGTTGATGGCATTTTGCGACGGCCGCAATGCAACGAATATTTTGGGAGCCGGTAGCTGGAGGTACCTGGTTACCATTCATCCGTTACTTTCTCGTAATGTGATTTACACCAGCTGACACCATCTCCGGATTTCGTAGAAACAGACCAGGGCATTTCAATTTCCACTTTTTGCACTGTATTCCAAAGTGAGATACTTGAGTTTCATGCTATGACGTTTTTTGTAAGGGTCTGTTAACTGTTTACTGTGTCAGTTAAAGTCAATAAATGTGAAACTATTGACAGTATCTAGCAGCAGTGGATACATTCGCACCCCGAAGCAGTGTTCTTCGTAGACTTCTGTTGTCATGCTTGAAAACTGTTATTTAAGATATCCTTATTTTTTGCAAAGGAGACTACTTACAAGGTTGCTGAAAACTCTTCGACAGCCCACGACCGGTTTTGCCCTTCTTGGGGCTCATCAGGTAGGCGCAGTCTCCGAGTTTCCATCAACCTTATGTTCTACAGACTTACCAGTTTAAGCTGGTAAACGTTGCAGTTGTGCAATACCGCCTACTCAGTTGTTTGTACTGTCAGGATAGGATGCGGGCGATGCATCAAGTAGAAGCTTTTCACTGCACCTTCAATATCTGGTACCGGCAAATAAGTTCTGCGTACAATATGTTACTAGACCATCTAATTCTCTTGATTGATCCTTACCACTTCGTACTTTTATTTGCAAACCGAGTCCGTACGTCTGTGGTGGGATCTTCTTCTTCTAGATACCGACTTAAAACTGGTATGTGGAAAATCGAACCTGTTTCGTTTCTGAGGTGTCGTCATTTCTGAGCGGTTTTCTTAAGCCACCTGCGTAAAACGGTTAGACATGCTGAATTATTGAGTATGCGAAAAACCTCAGTGTAAAACGAGACTCAGCGACCCAGTTGGCGTTACATGCGTTCTTAGGATTCATCTACGTGTTGTGATCAAATATTTACAGCTGTGCTTCCCAGTTGCAGAAGTTTCAGTTCTTCATTACATCCTTGCTCACTAGTTCTTGTGTCAATCAACTATCCATCAACCACACTCAGAACGCTTGAATTTAACAGAAGTACGTACTTTCGGACTACTGTTGCGGTTACAGTTCACCCAAATGATTGTTGTGCATCACACAGGATACTGTTGTGCCTGTAGATTGTTTTTGTCTGTTCAGCCAAGCATTAAATCTGTTACGGGAGATTCCCAGTCTGACCACACGAGCTTGTCAGTTTCCTACTTTGGTTATAGTCTTGTGTGCGCCGAACTTACGGATGCGCGTATGCGCAGGCTCACGTAGAGGCGCGCAGTACTGCAATGGGAGTGTCTGCTGGTAATCGAGTGTCGGTTCAGTGCTATCAGATTGTAGTTTTGAAACATGAATTCCTCAGGTCTTTGACATTTTTGTGATCATAGTTATTGTAGAGTTGCGTGGGCAAATTCTTAAGGCTTCAGCTCAGTCGTATGCTACAATTGCCGAATTATTTTTTACCATGACTAGTGCTGGCCTCGATATCCCTCACAGAGTGATTCGAATGATGAGGAGGCAAACACACAACCCGGCATGAGGGTATGAAAAAAGTTGCGGAGATTTCGTACGTTATTGATGCGACCCGTCTTACAAGACACCCACGGTTCTACCCTTTATGGCTTATTCGGGGATTTTGCAAGGTATTACCACCAATTGATGGTGCTGGCGTTATTGTTTTTGGTTTTTTATCTTGATTGCTTGAATGAGTATCGCCCAGTGTGCTCGTCATCGGCTTGCGCTGCGTCCTTCCCTGTTTGCTGTTTTCATCTTCCAGTTTAAAGCTCTCCTCCACAATTCACATTTACATTACTCTCGTTTGACGAGTCCTCCTCTTGGCGTAACTATTCTGATTGTTCCACACCGAAGGAGGGCAGCAGTGGACTCGAGTTCCCTTCCTACTAGAGTTCATCAGTAATGCATATCGTTGGCTGTGCTGGAGTTTGAGCACCACGTCTGACATGCTAGGCGAATGTATTACCAGTGCTCGGCCAGTATAAACTGGACATATCTGAAGTATCACTTCTGAACAGGCGCACGTGTTTACGTTTGACCGATGTGATTGGTTTTCCCGGTAACCCAATAGCTATCCTGATTATGTCGGTCGATTGACTCGCTGGTCAAGAATTTCCCGTCAGGTGGCTCCATGGACTCTTGAAACTTGCTGGACAGTTCTCCATAAACATATGTTCTCATGGCAGTGAAGCTTGAGTGTGTGCGCCGGCTTTTCTACTCCTGGTGACCATGGTGACGGTAATTTAGAGCGTCACTATTTTTTGCGTACTGTTTTCCCTGTGGATTCAAAATCCACTCAGTCTAATGCCTTTTTATGTCACTTTTAAAATTTTTGTGTGGCTGATTGCCACTTCTTCCCGCCTAACTTGTGGAACCAGATGCAAATTTATTTCGCAGTAGGATCATAGTGGTCACAAATATGCTTTTCCCTAAACTGGCGGGTTAAAGCCATTGGAGAGGTTTGAGAACTGGCTGTCGATACCTATGCTAAAATTTCATCCTGGTGTACATAGAAGCCTCAATTAACTCGAATTAATTTGGCGTTTCATCCCTTTTTACTATTTTCGATTTTTGCGTATGTGATTAACCTTAATTTAGTTTACTGCGAAAAAGAATGATTCATGTGTTTTCATCCCTGTTTATGGTGCACATACCCTTTGTATCCCACTTGTGCGTTACTCTTTATTTCAAAATTTCAGGGACAAGACCTTTACCCTCATTTCCGCTCCTTTCATGAAGAGCCCATCCAAAATGCTGTGGAGCAGATGGGTGCTACACAACCAAATGCCGCTGTTGGTTCACTAGGGGCCTTCACTTCATATCCAGAAACGCATGTGTCTGCCAGCTCGGAAGAAGTTGCAAGCGCTTTATCGTGTCGACATTGTGGTCGCGCTTTCAATCGACCCAGTCACCTGGAAGTGCACCTGCGTATCCACACAAACGAGTACCCACATGATTGTGTTTTATGCGATCGGCGCTTCATCCAGGCCTCTAATCTTCGTCGACACTTATCGTCACACAAAACATGGCCACCCCTACAATTTACCACTCGGAAATATCACGGCATTCAACCCGTCCCACACTCTCAGGTACCTCTTCGTCCTAACTGTCTTCAAGGTGGCAAAAGCAGGAGTTTCATTCTCTATCTGACCTATCCATTTGGTATATCTGTGCTCCTGATTCGTAGTTCAGAATGGATTATACTTCAGAAGTTACTGTTTATCGTATACCATTCAGCTGACCGTTTTCGGCTCATAGATTTTGTTTCGGTTGAGAAATTCCGCAGGCATGTTGTCTTCGTAAGTTAGCAGGAGTAGTGCTTTTTAGATTGATAATGTGCTCTCTTGCCAACTCAGACGTCCGCATTTCTGTGGAGTTTCTCACCAAGTTTTGGGCATGGAAATATCCGCTAAACACCCGACGACCCTCACACTACTTTTGCCTTGGTAGTCACAATCAGCTGTGTAATTACTATGGATATCTAGAGATACTTGGTTCGCCATTATCCCTAGCTTGAATTTATCCTCGAACAAAACACCGGCTATTGTCTTAGAGGACACTCCTCTCAACTTTCCGTGTGATCCACCTCAGTAGCATATGAAACTCCATTGTAGTTTTTGTGACACTTTTTATGGATGTGTAGGTCCTTTGTAACCAATACATGAACCACTGCTCTTCAGCGCGCTCGAAAATTAGTCGCTTTCGTACTTGGGAGTTTTCAGCCACTAATAAGTCAATGTTAAGCGATCATAAAAATAGTCAAAGGCCATTTTTGTGAAGAGAATTTAGCGGACTGGAGTCACTTACTTGTAGGCGTGGGCGTCTCTTATGAGTGTCCACCTGAGTTTTGAAAGAAGCTATAAGGATTTTTGATAAGTTTTCGCTGTCGTATATGTCGTTTACATATGTGATACCGTTTGGATGCATTTTTTTCGGTTGTATTTGCAGATGGTTGGCTCCATCGCCATTCACAAACGTATTTCTAATGGAGTGAAGTCCTGGTCATGCAGATTCTGTGGTCAACAACAGACAACTTACCGCTCACTTCGACGACACATGGTCCGGCACAAAGACAATCGAGTAAGTCGGGAAAGACGGACCTTTAATGGGCCCTTGCGGTGTAAGTCGTGGACCTCCTCTACTTAATACGTACAGGAAAAGAAAATTTAAGAAATTTTTGATAGCAAGCCCAATTCCACTCAGAGCTCAAAAGACCACTCATGGAGGAACGTAAGTCACAAGAGAATCACTGGTGACACTCATTCTTTGGTGTCGAGAAGCGCGTATGCCGCTAATTTGCATAATTGTGACTGTGCACAGTGTCCGCAACAGTGGTTATGTACCGTGTTCGATTCTCATCTTCGACGATTTTGATTTTTGCAATCTATCTGCTCTGCTTTCTAGGTTTCACATAGCCCAAATGAACTCCATGGGATTGAGTCAACTCATTTATTGGGACTGAACACCGTAGTATGTTTTTGGTAGTGTGAGGAGATTTGGTAATTTTCAACTGAGATTTTGGCCTGTAACTAAAGTTACCCCTTACTGAAAACCCGATAAGCATTGTACAACTGTTTTATCCTTATTGGGAATCACCAGTGCGCATCTCGCGAAACTCCAGGGAGATGTGCAATAGGAGTCGATGCACTATCACTACGGTTACTGAATTACTTTCGAAAGGCAGAGAGATGTAAACCGGTTTTTCAGCTGAATGGGGGTGTCTTTGTTATTTGGCTTTCGGCGTATCGTCTGAGTGATATCCGTAGATACTGTATAATATTCCCCTTCCGGTTCGAAGAAACGTGCCTTTCAATGCCTTCAGATCAAGACCTTTTTCGATACACCGTCCTATGGGTTGTGCAGTCACTTTTTGAGTATTTTATACGTGGTTAGAGCGCGAATTTAGAGATAGGAAGGTCCGTAGTTCGAACCCGACCTCCGCATTTCGACTTCTGTCTAGGCTTGGCTAACCCGGCAGCATCCCAGACCTCGTGTTTCCTTAGAGTGCCATGGCAGCTAGGAAGAGAAAGGTTGTTACACCTGAACGATCATTTCTACGATTTGCGTGGTGAGTGCTACACGACG